TTTCCCTGGGCCACTGGGGCTGGAGAGGGACAGACAGAGAAGAGCTGCAGAAAGACCTCCCCTCCCGCCAAGCCTCGTCCCTTCCCAGAGAGGACTGACCCAGCCAGCCCCGCGGGCCCTCGGTACCGGATGCATTGTTGTGGAGAACTTGGATGACAGGCTCTCGAGGGGCATCTGCAACAAGAGTGGGAGCTGACTTCAGGGGGGTTTTGCTCCTCACAACAAGAAAGGACTCCCTTGGAAGAGAGAGGGTGACCATTCCCACAAGGACAAGTGACCAAGGGCCACCAAAGGCCCCAGCCCCTCCCAGGCAACACCTGGGACACTGCACCTTGCTCTCTGTGGACTCTTTAGACCATGGAGCTGCAGGCTTCTCCACCTGACCCCAAAGTGTGCAAATTCACACTCACAGGCCACACTCAGTTGGACGGTCCTGTGTGTGCTGATGCCTGGTCTGCCGAAGTCCACTCGACAGGTGAGCCTAGTGCCGTGGTCCTGGGGCTGTGGGGTGAGGCTGAGCACTGAGGAGTGGGAGGTTGGTGGCCTTGTTCTTTGGGAGGGGATGGCAGCCGTGGTCCAGGAGAAAGAAGGGGTCGGGCATTGCTCAAAGGCTTGRTTAAACACACAGAGAACGCTCACAGGCTTCCCGGGCTCCAGGGTCTCGGGAATGAAGACATCTGGCTTCTGAGTTAGGTCTGGAGAGAGGGGGCCAATCCTAGTTGTCTGGAGTGTGTCCCTGAGAGCCCACCCAGCTCAGGTCCTGGGGCCGTCGCCCACAGTTCATCCCTAGCATGAAAGGCAAGGGTCCCCACCACATCTCCTACCTGTCACTTCCAGAGAGAACTTTTTCTGGAAATTAAATTTCACTATGGGTCCTCTCTCCACGCGGAAGAAGTAGGTCGCCCTGTCCCGCCACTGTGCATCTTTGATCATCAGGGAGCAGTCATCTCTGTTGGGGTCCCCCATGAGCTGGAATCGGCCTTGGGTCCTAGATTGCACCCTTCGATGTGGGTTGTTCGTGGCCACTGGATCCCCCTTGTTCGTGTTGGTCCCTTCTTCGAACCAGTATCCATAAGCCGGCTGAGAGTCAATCCAGCGGTCGTCCCTGGGGTAGGAGAAGGAGCAGGACACCAGCACGCACAGGCCCTCCTGCACCGACGCCGACTCCTGCACCTGCAGCCAGTACTCCTCTAGCTGAGCCTGGGACCCTGAGGGGAGACAGAGGCTCAACCTGCAACCCCAGTCCTGGCCCCAGCAGGGTCCCTCCGGTCCCTGCCACTCACCACCCAACAACAAGGACAGCAGTGGCAGCAGGAGTAGCATCTCGGCCTCGGGAGGCTGGGTCCTGCYAGAGGCTCCTTCTCCCCTCGTGCTGTGCTGATCAGGGAGGGCAGAAGGGGAAGCTCTGGCGGAAGCTGAGCCCAGGGACTGCAGCCCATCACTAGAGCAGCTCAGACTCCGTCTCTCGGCCCTGCCCACCTGGCCCCTCCTCTCCACCTGGGGCGGGGCTCTGACTGCCTGGAGCCTGCGGGGTCTCGGCCACCTCTGGGTGGGGGAGGGCAAGGCCTCGTCTGGCCTGGGGTCTGGCTGTGGGTGGGGAAGTGGGGGCACTCCCTCCGGGCCCTGGGTCACTGAGCAAGCAGAAGTGAAAGTGCATGGTGAGCAGCTGTCCTGGGGTGGGGGGGGGGCGGCGGGTGCAGGCAAGGAGGGCTGGTCCCGCCAGACAAGACAGACACCTGGTAAATTAACTTTCCGATCAGAAAAAAGAATATATTTATTTTTTGGTATAAGAATTCATCTACTTATACTTTTTTTTTGGGGGGGGGGGAGCAGGGGTTTACCTGAAATTCAGATTTGACTAGATGTCTTGCTTTTTTGATTTTTTGAATCTTGCAACCCTGGACTGATTTCCGTCCCACCCCTCATCCTCCCTGGTGACCACTGCCCACCCGCCCCCACTAGGCTTCTGCCCACTTCCCCGTCTCCCCTTCCTCTTCTGTCGAAAAGTTGTCACCGTGCTTGTAATCCCTGTTGGGACTTGAGCTCCAGGTCCTCGCTGGGGGTGCTGGGCAACGTAGGGGGCTAGGGTTGAGCCAGTGGAAGGACCGCTCCGAGTGTTATCCAGTCCCCCTGTTTGGGCCACGCAGAGACCCGAGGCTTATCCACCCAGCCACCAAGCACCTCATGCCAGACACTGCTGCWTGTGGGGACACACAGGGAAAACCCCACAAGGGTTTGGTAAACACAAATTCTTCTTCTCCTCCTCCCCCTCTTCCTCCTCCTCCTCCTTCTTATTCTATGCTGGGAATTGAACCCAGGAGTGCTCTACCAGTGACTTACATTCCCAGCCCTTTTTATTTATTTTTTCTGAGACAAGGTCTCACTAAGTTACTGAGGCTGGCCTCAAACTTGYGATCCTTCCTAGACCTCAGCCTCCCCAGCAACTGAGATTACAGGTATGCACCGCAGTGTCCAGCTGTAGATAAAGATTCTTAAGAACAGAAAAGCACTGAGGGTTGTTGGAATGCAGGGAGTGCAGGCGCCAGCCTGCATGCAGGGACCCTGGAGAGGGTGTGGTCATTTCTTTCTGGTGGAGGGAAGTCAGGACGAATCTCCTGGAGAAGGTGACCTTTGGTGTCCCTGCCTGTGCCTGTTTCTGTTCTGACGGCCACTGGATTAGTCTGCTCAAGCTGCTGCAACCTAGTATATTCCACCCTCCCTTGGGTATAGGTTCCGCATCCATGGATTCAAACCATTGCTGAAAGAAAGTACTAGAAAATCTTTGTGTCTATCCTGAGTATGTACTGATTTCTTGTCCCTGTCATKATTCCCTAAACAATAGAGTAGGACACCCACAACATCATTCAGGTTGTGTTAGGGTGGCCCTGGAACCCACCTCCCCTGGATACCAAGGGTGGCTGTACCGCAGGTGGAGGGCTGAGACGTGGACCTCTGTTTCCTCACGTCTGGGGTTGGCAGTCCGAGCCCAGGGTGTGGGCAGGGCTGCCTCTTCTGCGGCCTCTCTCCTTGGCCTGTAGGTGGCTTTTCTCCCTGGGTCCTCCCGTGGTCCTGAGTGTCTGTGACCTTGTCTTGTTTTACAAAGACACCGTCATACTGGACAAGGCCCACCCTAGTGACCTCATTTTAACTGAATCACCTGCCTGAAGACCCTGTMTCCAAATAGAGTCACATTCTGAGGTTTTGGGGGCTAAGACCTCAACATGTGAGTTTGGGGGTGTCATAGTTCAACTAGTTACAACCCCCTACACCTTCACTCTGATCCCCGGGTCCCCAAAGCCCAACCTGGATCTTCTCAGAGGCAAATCAGGCGTCTTCTCCTGGGACAGCCTCATGTTGGGGGACATCACCTCCTCCTCTCGACAGGCCCCAAAGGAAGGGACCCAGGTGAGAGGGAGGGAAGGATGCCTGGGTGCTGTCCCAARGGTGGACCTCTGAGCCTCCACTGAAGCAGCCCACCCTGCCTCGAGCCTTTCCTTACCTCCACGGGACTAGCGGGCAGCAATGGGGAGGGGCAAAGCCCACCTTGGGGTTGAAAGAGGCCATTTGTCAACTCCCAGGCCTCTCCAGGCCGACTCCACTTGGAGGGTGGACGCCCTTGGAATAGGTCTCACTTTGAACCCCAGATCGAATCCCTGTCCACCTAAATAACAGAGGGATTCTCCAAAGACGAAGACGTTTAATTGGGAGCTGCCTTGCAACRGGACCTGCTTTAGTGAACGCGCAGTCTTCAGGGAGGCCGAGGAAGAGGGAGCTGTGGAGCAGAAGGAGCTGATGAAGGAGGGTATTTTGAAAGACCTCTGAGCCCAAACCTTGTTGGCCACCTGTCCCTGCAGAAAGTCTCTTCTCTTTCTCACACTGAGAACTGAACCCAGGGGCGCCCTCCCATTGAGCCACATCCCAGCCCTTCTTTATTTTGTATTTTGAGGCGGGGGCCCATGAAGCTGCCCAGGCTGGCCCCGAGCTTACACTCCTCYTGCCTCAGCCTCCCAGGAGCTGGGACCACAGACYAGGGCTGCCATGAGCTGCCAAGTGCTTTCTGTCAGGGTTTCTGTGGCCTTGCACAGGGCCGCGGTTGTGGCAGAGTCCGGGTGACAGTCCTTGTTAGCAGGCACAGGTGTGTAAGGCCCKGCCCCTCCTTCATGACCTCACAGGTAGGTCTGTTTGCTGTCACCAGGGCTGTGCACAAGTGGCTCTGTTTTGATTTGACAGCTTTCAGTTCCACACGTGGAGGCGAGCAGGYGAAGGCAGCCTGGAGCCTGGCAGGTCTCGGGGCTGAGCAAACCACAGCAGGGGGTGGGCRGCCGGCCCTCCCGGGTCTGCAGGCAGTCGCCCAGGGCTTGGAGGTGGTTCTGAGACCATCAGCTCTTCTCCCCTTCCTCTGAAACCTTCAGCTACCCTCTTCTTTTCGCAGGAAAACTTCCCTGAGGATCCATCCTTCTTCCCTTACTCTCCATCCTAGCCCAGTCCCTCCCCGCCCTTCACTCAGATCTCCAGAGACCTGCAGACTGTTGAAACCATTCCCGTGTCTCCTGGGGGCCTCCCACTCAGGAGGCTTGGTCACGCTCCGTCAGCCACTCGTCCCTTCTTGGAGGGCTTCAYAGCTTTGCTCCCAGGGGGCCCAGGGCCACCATCTCACACTAGTCTAGGGCCACCATCCACAAATGCCACGTGAGTTGCTAGGCTGGCCTTCAACTTGCAATCCTCCTGCATCAGCCTCC